CACCAGCGGAGTCCCGCAGAGTTCTGAACTTGGACCTATCCTGTTTCTGTTCCAGAAGGTATAGACTCATTCCTCTCTAAATGTTTGGTGATGATGCTAAAATTATGAGAAGGATTAAGACAGAGGAGAACAGCAATTGGATGCAGGATGATCTGGACAGACTGAAAGAATGGCCAAACAAATTCCTACTAGAGTTTAACTCAAGCAAATGTGCAAAGTGATGAAAATATGCGTAGGGAGCAAGAGGCCAAACACAAGGTACCAGCTGAGAGAGGAAAACCTTCAGAAGTCAGGACGAGAGAAAGAGCTGGGGTTTGATATTACACCAGACCTGTCCCCTGAAGCCCACATCAAAAGGATAACATCAGCGGCATATGCAAGTCTGGCGAACATATGGGCTGCCTTCAGAAACTTGTGTAAGTTATCATTCAGAACCTTGAATACCTCATATGTCAGACCAATTCTTGAATATGTGGCTCCAGTGTAGACCCCACATTTAGTCAAACACAAAATGAAGTTAGAAAAGCTTCAAAGATATGCCACCTGGCTAGTCCCCGATCTGAGTGGAAGGAGCTATGAGGAAAATAGTTGGAACTGAACCTCATGACACTAGAAGACAGAAGAGTTAGGGGAGATATGATCACTACCTACAAAATTCTCAGAGGAATTGACAGGGTAAAGAAAAACTGTTATGGTACGCAAACAAGGGGACACAAGTAGAAAATGAGTACACAAATGAGCCACAGTTACGTTAAAAAGAACTTTTTCAGTGTCAGAGTAGTTAACAGATGGAGTGCATTAGGCAGTGATGTGGTGCAGGCTGACTCCATACACAGTTTCAAATGTAGATATGAGTAGGTACAGGAATCTGAGCACCAGTTGAAGGAAAGTTGAGAGGCAGGACCAAAAAGCCATAGCTCAGCCCCCGCAAGCGCATCTGGGTGAGTACACACACACACACACACACACACACACACACACACACACACACACACACACACACACACACACACACACACACACACACACACACACGTGGCTGAGTGGGCAGCGCTCGGAAATCTTAAGAGCCCAAGTGCAAAAAAAAAAAAAGTAGGTAAGGTCTTTTGTTTTTAAAGAATATTAATACTCTCTCGGTGGTCTTCAGGGAACCGAAATTATTTGTTATCTTCTGAACTGACATTCACATCCTACTTCAGGCACTACAGCCAGCTTTTTAAAAGCAACGTAATGAAATATGCCAATACATAAGCAATTCTTCTAACCTGAACTAAGCTAGTTGGGTACAAAACTGACGAGGAGAATATGGACAGGAAATGAGTACAGAAAACTTCAGAAAGACAAGGACAAACTGCAAGACAGGTCTGACAAGAAGAATTCCTGAGCACAATGGTAATATGTGCAAAGTAATGAGAACGGGTGCTGAAGAAAGGATAACATGATCCATCTGGAAGAGAAATAGCTCCAAGGAGATAAATAAAACCACATCAGGGTAGACATTACACCAAACCTGTCTCTCGAGACATATTAAACAGATAACATCAGTGATATTTCCAATGGTTCTGCATGTTTGTGTGTGTGTGTGCTGTTGACAGTGTTTCTGCTGTTGATGTTGCAGTAACTTCCGTTTATTTTGCTACTGCTGTTTCTATTGTTGTTCATGCTGACGTTATAGCTGCTGTTGTTTTTGCTGCTGTTATTGTTGCAGCTTTTGCTTCTATTGCTATTTTTCTTATTATTAGTCTCCCTCTCACTCTTCAATTTCTACAATGATCTTTTAACCAGGCTTTCTTACTTTTATTTGGAGTTTTAATTCTACGTGTCCCTCCTTTGGCAGTGATCGAAATTACACAAGGCTGCTTCCTTCTACCCACGTGAAAACCGACAGAAGATAAATGAAGCTTCTTCGACCACATAGTCCTTTGATCCCTTCCTCATGGCTAATTATGTTAGTGCTTGTTAGTACCTCTTGCCTCTCAATTTGCAAATTACTACTTAATTCAGAGAAACTCAGATTTACGAGATGGAAATGCATAGTGCTTAATTTTACCCTTCTCTCTCATTATTATTTGATCTCCTCACATTTTTGCATTCCTAACTGGAGTGGTTCGTTGCTTGCAGGTCATGTCATGTCAGGTAACGAAAGAAAGCATCAATTATGCAAAGTGCAAGTCTTTCTGCTGGCCGGGAAGCGAAGAGAAGCTTGACATTAGGAGAGAGTCAGAGATGAGAAGAGCGTGATATGAGAATAAAAGCACGAGATCATGAATGAGAAAATGTAGGATAAAGATGGAAGATAAAAATAGTATAGCAGTGAAATTTCCGTAAATGAACAGAGGATAGGAAGAAAGACCTTGGAAGAAACAAACACACACACCACACACACACACTGGGGTCTGGTAGCTGAGTGGACAGCGCACTGGACTCGTAATCCTGTGGCCCGAGGTCGATTCCCGGCGCCGGCCGAGACAAATGGGCAGAGTTTCCTTCAACCTGATGCATCTGTTACCTAGCAGTAAATAGGTAACTGGGAGCTAGACAGCTGTTACGGGTTGCTTCCTGGGTGTGTGTGCGCGTGTGCGTGCGTGTGTGTGTGCGTGTGTGTGTGTGTGTGTGTGTGTGTGTGTGTGTGTGTGTGTGTGTGTGTGTGTGTGTGTGTGTGTGTGTGTGTGTGTGTGTGTGAAAAAAATGTTAGTAGTTAGTAACAGTTGATTTATTGACAGTTGAGAGGCGGGCCGAAAGAGCAGAGTTCAACCTCAAGCACAACTAGGCGAGTACACACACACACACTAATACGAAATAACCTCACGATGTCGCACCTTATACGCCAGCACCACCGTTAACACAATACACCTCAGGGCAGAGGTGTGGGCAACACAGCTGATCGACACAGACAACACACCCAGGTGTGCTGGCGAGGTCAACTGGCCATCCCCCGAGGCATTCTATCCTTACCAAGAGTTTCTGAAAACTCTCGATGCTTATTAACCGAATGGTAGTGGGAGAATGTGTGTATGTGTGAACTCACCTATTTCTACCTACCTATTTGTGCCTGCAGGATCGAGCATTGATTTTTGGATCCCGCCTTTCTAGCTACTAGTTGTTAATAGCATTGAATCCTGTCCTATTTCCTTATTATACCTAGTTTTAAAATTAAGAATATAATTTGCTTCCACAACTTGCTCCTTCTCTTCATTCCATTTTTCCACTTCTCTCACGCTAAAGGAAAACTTCCTAACATCTTTGTAGTAAATCTGAGTTTCCAGCTTCCACCCATGTCCCCTTGTTCTGTTATTATTATTGTTATTATTGTGTGTGTGTGTGTGTGTGTGTGTGTGTGTGTGTGTGTGTGTGTGTGTGTGTGTGTGTGTGTGTGTGTGTTTGCTTTTATGCCCATCATCATAACCCATAAATGATATATGTGTATTATACTGAGTACTGCTGGCTCAACACCTTTCAACATCAAAGAATTTAACAAATGAAAAAGTAATTATTTTATCACATAGCGATTGTAGACTAAATCAAATGTCATTCCTAGAGCTTTGAATTTAATTAAAATATGAATTATTTAACATTTAATATTATTTTAGCAAAATTGGGTAATCTCTTTTCGACCCTTAATTAGTGCCTATATTCATTAAAAAGCAATGGCCCTTTCAATTCACGCTACTCCACTGTTCAATTTTCATATTATATATATATATATATATATATATATATATATATATATATATATATATATATATATATATATATATATATATATATATATATATATTTCTTTTACACCTCTAAATGTACTAGTAATGTAAAATTGTAAATATAAATATGAAATGTAAACTTTGAACTAACGAAGCTGAAAAAACAGCCAACAGAGGACCGATGGGCCTCACAAAGTTCAAGTTAATTACAGACTAATTAGAGCTAATGATAGTCTGGTTGTGTATATGAATCTCCTTTCCTACTCTTTACTCCTCTTCTTTATACTTAAGGAAAGATCTCATTTACCAATCGCGAAAGATATTTTGTCACTCAATTTAAGGATAGACATAAATATTTTACCAATGATCCAAACTTGCTTATTGATAATCTGGTAAACAGTTGAAGAGAGCATACAATACTCTGCACTTTCTCACGATCAAACGAGCACTAAATATGCAGTGATGTAACGTAACGAGAGGCGTAGGAATCATACGACCTCATACTCCTCTTTAGATAGCACTAAATAGTTTAAAATACCGATGTCGACCATTGGACATATACTGACGTAATGGACAATTAGAAACTAGAATTTGGTATTACTGAATTTGGACCAACGGGAAAAGGTTTTGCATTTATATTGTTAATAAAATCTAGTCTAACCTAACTTAGGCCTAACATACGATATCTGAGGCCTAATATATATATACGTGGTATACTATGCCTAGGAACATTTAAGTTTGGTTTTCAGCTTCATTTTTCGAACTATTTAAAGTGAAAAGTAAAAATATTTACTATTTGGCCATTACGTCAGTATATGTACAATGTTCCACATAGTTACAAAAAAGTATAATCTAAACAGGAGGATGGGTTGCACACATACACGCGTGCACACACCCATCCACACATACACACACACACACACACACACACACACGCACACACACCGGGTGGGGCGACCTTCGTGGAGTAGCCTTGAAAACTTGGGGGTTGAGCTTTTCTGTGGCATTGTCTGCTGAAATTTTCATGAAATAATGTTTGCCAAACACTTGTCTGTAAACAACAACAGTTGTATCATAAATTATAATTATCGATAATTAGGGTCCTAGATGAGGTTGAGAGTCAGGAATTTGCTGCTAGGGGTGTAGGATAAAAAGCTTGCCTTGGAAGGACGTTAGTGTGAGTAAGCAGGTGCTGGTGAATAAACAGTAGGAAAGATTTCCACTCGACATCCAGTTATATGCCGAAGGATCACGTGACCATCCCGGCAGAGATGGTATATATATCACTGCAGACCAAAGTGTGAACACAACCATCCGCCTGAAGAAGCCTATTCAGGAGTTCTCCAGCCAACAGATTCGAAATCAACATGAAGTTTCTGGTATGTCACAATTTATACTTGTTTCTTTTCCAAACATTCCAAGCTAAACACTCGAATAATAACATGCTCTGATATCATGCCGACACTATTTTAATATTTTTTTCGCCCTCAGGCAGCGATCTGCGTTCTCGCCGTTGGCGTCAGCGCTCAGGTTGGGCCTTCAGGAATCGTCAGTCCAGATGGCAAGAACGTTCAGTTCAGCCACGATTTTGTCAACAGAATCGTGTTGGTTGGACCTTCTGGTATTGTCACATCAGATGGCTCTAACCTCCAGTTAACCTCCGGCCAGGCTGGCCTGAATCTGGGCTCTCTACCCGCACCCCTTCCATACGCCAGATTCAGGGGAGTCGTCGGACCTTCCGGTATTGTCCGCCCAGGGGGCAAGAACATTCAGTTCAGCCAGGCTCAAGTCGACAACAATGTCCTTGTCGGACCTTCCGGTATCGTCACCAAAGATGGCAAGAACATCCAGTTCCAAGACGAATACCAGTACTATTAAGACATGTATTCTTGTGATCTCCCGCCACATATCTCTGCTGACGAATCCCTTCCGGCATTTATCAACAAGAAGAACGTCAATCGTTTCCCCGTTGGATTGGAGCCCTTCTGGGAACCGAGATATCTGCAACCCGATTTGATTCTCCTTGTACGACTCATTTTGCCTATAGGCCCATGGTTATCACTGTTAATTTCCTGTTATGATGTCCTGTACATATGTGAAAGCAATATAAATATATTCAGTTGTATAATCAGACATTTAATTCTTCACTTACAATTTTTTTACCATTTATATGTATCGAGAAAGGTAATTGTAAAAGAAATCAAAATGCAACCTTGATTCACTGTTAACATTCGTGTTCTGTTTTGGTTGTCAATAGAAATCTAAAACTGCATTGTTAAATTTAAGTTTACATATGTACGCACTTGTAGAATGCATTCAGTGTGTGACTTTCTCTCTCTCTCTCTCTCTCTCTCTCTCTCTCTCTCTCTCTCTCTCTCTCTCTCTCTCTCTCTCTCTCTCTCTCTCTCACACACACAAAAATAGTTATTAGTTAGTAACAGTTGATTGACAGTTGAGAGGCGGGGCGAAAGAGCAGAGCTCAACCCCCGCAAGCACAACTAGGTGAATACACACACACACACACACACACACACACACACACACACACACACACACACACACACACACACACACACACACACACACACACACACACACTCAAACTTGCAATATGTCCCCCCTCATTATTCCTCAATAATTAACATTTTCAAAGATGTGAGATCTGTAGGACTAAAAAAAAGGAGTCGCATTTGCGTTTGTCTCATGTTCAGAAAACCTGTAAATATCCTCATTTTCTTAAACTTGCACCACTACCATATACAAAATAACTACACAAGGGAAGAAGTGAGTGGTACCTGAGTGGCTAATGTCTGAATCCTGAGTACATGTTCAGGAAGCTGAGATCTTCAGCGCCCTGATTAACTCATGTATTAACTCTGACAACTAATTGCATTCTGAATGATCCTTGGCTTACTCCTGAATGCTCAGCAAGAGAATTCTGTTTTCTGACTTATGATTGAATCTAGCTGTTTCATTGCATATTCCTGACTGACATTTTAACTCCAAGCTGATTTATGACTGAGTTCTGATTGGCTGCATCACTCACCAACACTGAACCACTGATGGTCACATGAATTATGCATTTCACTTCCTCAATACTTCACTCTCAATATGACAATCTGACTTCCTCTCATCACAGACGAAGACAAAGCTTTCCCTGGATGCATCATTACAGGTTTTTGTATTTATCTTGAAAACATTTAGTCAGCTCGATTTTCGGGAAATGTTTTATATCATGATGGGTAGTTAGAGTATTTAACAATCTGTGTGCGTCAGAGAAAACGAAAGGTAATAATGAGATTAGTGCTAAAAAGTCGGCATTAATCTTACCGTTCCTACGACGTAACACGTACTATCGTACCTTGTAATTAATGACATGAAGTTTCTTGCGGTGGAGTACTCTAAAATATATTATTTTCAATACACTTTTAGCTTATTCTGAATTTCTAGCTAAAAAGTACTACATATATATATATATATATATATATATATATATATATATATATATATATATATATATATATATATATATATATATATATATATATATATGTAGTGTAGTAGTATATATATCCACACCAAATATAGGTGTATTTGCGGAGAGGTGGAGGCCGACAGGTACCAAAGCACAGGGGGACGGCACTCGAGGCACAGTGAAGTTAACATCATCAAAAGGAGCCTCACCTCAGCTGGATGCCCAGCTGCGAGAGAGCCCCGTTACCTAACGCCCCGTAACTCTGCTGCTCTTATTGGTCGTCCTGATGGTATCACAATGAACCCCTTGAAGAATGGCAAACAGTTGATATGGAACTATACGTGCGAATCAACCCTGGTTAACACCCACAGTGACTTTAGTTTTGCACAAGCGGGTGGCGCTGCCACTCACAGGGAATCAGCCAAATCCCGTAAGTACAGAGAACTGGATCACCACTACAATTTAGCCCCATTGCTTCTGAGACACTCAGCGCCTGGGTAAGAGTGCCACCAGTTTTTTGAAGGAGTTGTGGTTTTAGGCTAATTGAAACAACAAGAGACCCCTAGAACTACCAGCTTCCTTTTCCAGCGCCTCAGCGTGGCGATACAGAGGGGAAAATGCATGCTGCATTCAGGGTTCTTGCCCGCCATCTGAGGAGCTGGAGGAATTCGACAACTTATGATAATCATCTTTGTACCCTGTACCCTATATGTAACTCCATTTTTGTAACAAAGTTTAAATAAAACAAAAATATATATATATATATATATATATATATATATATATATATATATATATATATATATATATATATATATATATATATATATATATATATATATATATATTCTACCACCCACAAAAAGAATGTGGGTGGTAGAAGAAAATATTAAAGTGTTCAGTGTATATATACACTACAATACAGTATATATATATATATATATATATATATATATATATATATATATATATATATATATATATATATATATATATATATATATACAGATAAAACGAAATAAAGTGATTTGAATTGTCCTTGAGATGAAACGTGACCCAAATAGCAGGTGAAATAACGCTAAATTAAAATTAAGATCATGTGATCTCGTTTATGATCAATCTGAAATATTTTAAATGTCAGACAATATATATGATGCAATGTTCACAGGTATTTGTCACTTACCAACAGAGATGAACGGAATATGAAAGCGAAAAGAATTAACGATTTGCAAAATGAAGAGGAAACATTTTTCATGTGACTCCTGCCAACCAATCATTTTAAATTTCTTAATTCTTCAATTTATGCTGCAAGAAAATATTTTAAATTTGTAATTACTTTACTATCAAGGAACTAGATAACCTTTCGAAGCGTCACTGTCAGGTAAGGACTGTTTTAAGGGTTTAATCTAGCAAATACGATAAAAGGAAGATTTTTATAGTATCTTTCTGCACATTTGGTTTCAAATTTTCATCAGAAGTATGTTTTGAGGTACTGGAGGACATTCCTGAGTTAAGTTTAGTCCACAGTTGCCTGGAAAATTAAACTGGATTTTTTTAAGCAGTCTCAACCTTCAGTATCTAAGCTGGTAGGAAGGTCAGTCTAGAGCCTTCACAACCTTCAATACTTCAGCTGGCTGGAAGATCAGTCTGGAGCATTAGAAGAGCATTCTCAGTTTTCAGTAGAAGCAAAATTCTGAAATCTTTTGTTTATACAGAGTTTCGTCAAGTTTTTTATGGATGGTTAAACTGTAATTCATGCATGTCCTTAATAGTTACATAAGGAAATATGTTAATTTCAGTGACAACTTTAAATTCCTTATTCATTCAATTCTACAATTTTCACAAGCAGGAGTAAAGACCATGGCAGTCAATGTTGACTGGACATGAAACCTAGAACTTATGTGTAAACCTGATCGTTTACAATGAGACTGTACCTTAAAGATGATAGCAATCGTGTTGGAAAGGTATGGCAACTTGGAATTTTTCTAACGTAATGACTATATGGCAATTGCATTACTTATAGCAAATTTTAATAATCACAACCGCTGGCTTGGTCGGCAACTTGGAATAGTTACTGTTTCATCTGACGCATGTGGTTTTACGATATAATATTAATCATATGACTTATCTGATTTTGCGAGATAATTTTTTTAACTGACGCATCAAAATCTTACAAAATCCTCGACAAGCTGTGATGACTTGTGGTACTTGTATTAACTGGCAATCTAGATCAAAATCTAATACATTTGCCCAGAAATGCTGAGCTGAAGTATATTTCCTTAACTCTGATAATCAGTGTACTGTCTCTTACACATTATTCTGCAATGTTTCTTAGAATGAAAGGTAAAAGTACTATATAAGAACGACTTTATGTTGATATATTGTAATCTTTTCTAGTTACTAATAATGTTATTATTACCATTGTGAGGAATCTTGAAATTTTGTTGGTGTTCAAAATGCATTTACTTAAAATTCCTTATCTCAACCACATCCTCATTCTTTCAGCAATCTCATTCTGCCAACTTTCACATTTTGTCAACATGCTCATTTCGACACAATCCTCATCTCAACAGCACCCTTATGTCGAAAAATTATAATATTTTAATGCAAACCGAAACCTGTGACAAATCTTCTAGATTTGTCACAGGTACCATTTGTCTGCGGTAACTTTATTAAACGTGGACGGTCAAGTATTTTTTTTTGGGGGGGAGGGGCCGGCGTGGATTATAATACTCTTTCATATTGGAAAGAGTCTGTCCCACTTATCACGAAATACGTGCATCATGCGTTAATTGTTAAGAATTTAGGAATTAATTGAGTCAATGGCATAAAAAGAAGACAATTTATTTGTTTGGAAAAGACCTATACATAGTATTTGTCTGAATTCTGTACAATTGGAAAATACAAAGTAAAGGTATCACTGATCTTGAGAGACCGAGTCATGTTGAAAGGTAATGGGGAGAAAACTCGTTCTCTCACGTGGATGATCTTGCCGTTCGAGAGGACAGTAACAGATTAACCAAGTTCCAGCTGGATCATTCAATCGCTAGGGATGATGCACGAGTAGCTTATCACATGATTAGAATCGCTTCTGGATGGGGGTGCCATCACTCAAGATGTAGCCAGAGGGTCCTTCCAAGGCAATGGTCACGCCTGCCGTTTTGAACTGGACTGGGGTACCATCATCAAGGATAATACCAGAGGGCCCAACCAGGGCACGTTTGCTGCGCTTCTGAATAGGGGTGCCATCACTCAAGATGTAACCAGAGGGACCCTCGAGGGCAATGGTCACACCTGCCGTTTTGAACTGGACTGGGGTACCATCATCGAGGATAATACCAGAGGGCCCCACCAGGGCACGCTTGCTTCGTGGATTCGCGATTCTCAAGTCGTCGGTGAACTGGAGATTTCGGCCGGATTTAGTGACAGCACCAGAAGGTCCAAAGTAGAGAATGTCATGAGCAAGATCATGACTGAAGAGGTCAGTGCTGCCATCACGTCTCAGGATGCCTGAGAAGCCAACGTTGCCCTGGGGAGTGACAAAGCCAGCAGTGCTGCGCTTGCTGCGGGGAGCGAACTTAAGGTCATCAGTAAACTGGATGTTTTTGCCGTCCTTTGAAACAATTCCGGAGGGGCCAACTACAACATACTGATCGACCTGATCTTGGGTGAACTGAATGTTCTTACCATCGGGGCGAACGATACCAGAGGGCCCGAAAGCTCCATAGTTGCTGATATACTGAGCCACAGGGATCGGGTTGGTGGCCACCTGGAGGCCAGCTTCTCCCGCAGTCAGCTGGCGGTTGGTACCATCCCTGGTAACGATGCCAGAAGGCCCTATCAACACGATGTTGTTAGCGTATTCGTGAGAGAACTGTGTGTTGACACCATCAGGACTGACGATACCTGAAGGCCCAACCTGTGCACTCACACCGACCGCGAGCACACAGATAGCTGCCTGAAGAAGGAATAACATATTCAAAAGGATGTAATAAAAATAAAATGGATTAAATATGATTCTACATTAAATTAATAGCTAAGGTTATTAAAAAACTTATTCCCGAGTGCAAAAACAATTAATTAATTAATAACTCATTAATAGTGAATGCGAGTGGGAAGATATTAGAGAATTAGCTCATATATCTGTAGTGCCTTTATAAATCGTCAGTATATTTGAATACAAAATTCAAAAGGTAAAAATCTGTAAAGAGCTTTGAGTTTCATCGAATCTCCAAGACCAGTGTTACTGTCTTTATCAGACGACCGTTCTTAAGCTACAACGAAACAAATGCTTTAACTGAAGTTAACATGAAAATAATCTCAAAATAATCAAGTGTTTGATTATATCTCTGTATAATTCATAGACTTTACAAGAAAGAATATTAATGAGTTTGAGAGATATCTCACCAGAATCTTCATGTCTAGTCAGTTTCAAGTGGTCCCAGAGAACTCCAGAGGCTTCTGTGGGCCGGATGGTAGTGTTGGGGTATGGTCATACCCGGGCTTATATACTCCTCTGACAAGGAGATCACGTGATCCCTTCCTCCGCGATTGGCTACCATCGTTATGTCTCCCTCTCCTGCTATTGGCTAGTTCTCAACTCATCACTAAGTTGCACAAGGTCATTACCTGCTTCCCGACAAGGTCTTTGTCAACAAGACTCTGATCCGCTCTGTATAAAACCAATAAATCGTGAGTAACCATCTCCTTGGGGGTTCGTCTCTGCAAAAATCACTATTATTATCTTGCATAATTTCTTGAAAAAAATTGTGTTAAGCGTCTTCCTTTTTTCTGTGAGCAACGAATGCCTGTTTTGTAGCGATTAATGGGTCCTGTTTGTTGAACGGGGTCGTCTTGTGTGTTACATGTAAGGAGCGCGCGGGGTTGGGCTGTCTCCTCCCATTGCTCCACGACTCCACCCAACTCGTCCGGCTTCGTCACTCTGGCGAATTGATCCTCGACATATCCCTGCTCCTCGAGGAATCCACTCTGCTGACTCGTCCGCACTTAGAATTGCAGATATTTAGAAAGTGAATGAATGATATTTACCAGTTTCAAGCATGTTTGATGATTCAACCTTTCCTTTACATCGCAGATTATATCCTACATATATACGTGTGTGTGTTGATAAATAAAAAAAAAGTAATTATTTTGAATCCATGAGGACTCCGGAATACTGAAAGAACGAGTACCTAACTGCATTCTTAAAGGAACGAATCCCTAGCCGGACTCCTGAATGAACATGTCCCCAAGTCGCAGATCTGAATAAACCACGTCCCTTGCCGCAATCTTGAATAAACACGTCCCTAGCGCCCCCATTGCAA